TTTCCAGAGAAATTATCACTCTGTTTGAGGTTAATTGTTGTTTCTGTGAAAGTATGTTGCTTTGCACACAAACCATCCCCAGATGCTTGCAATTAAAGCTGCTCTGTGGGACAAAGACTGTCTTTCGAATCACTACACTATGCTAAACATTTAGAGAACGAGCCTTTTAGATGACATCTATGCATGAAACTCTTCCACTTCTTTGTTCATTTGCCTTTGTGTTTTGTAGCCTGCAGTTAATGCTTTAAGTATTTGATTAAAACAACATTAAAAGAAGCTCCTGCATCCTTTGTGTTCATCTGAAGCTTCGGTGTAAATGTTACAGAAATGTGCTTTCGTTGTTAGCCCACAGATACAATAGATGCCTTTATGAGAACTGAATGATTTATTCTCCTAGAGTAAGCGCTTTCTGGCCCCGCAGCAGGGTGAAGAGGCTGTTCACCATTCATCAGTGTATATGTATCAGAGGCCTGTTGGTTTAGTGCGGACCCTGTCACATTAAACACCTCTCTCTGGCTCTCTCAGCCTGAAGAATAGAGCTCAAACACTTCATCATCATTACCCAGTGAAATGTCCAGCAGAAAGAGAGATTTTGTAGCTTTTTAGTGGTGTTTGCTAAGCCAAGCACTATTATTATTATTGCTAAAACTAGCAGATTTATTTTTGTTATGTGAAAGTCGCATTAAAAATATATTCTTAATTGAATTTTTGCACATTTAAAATGTATTTATGTATTATTATCTTGTCCAACACCCAATCAACAAAAAAAAATTAGGAAATCCCTCTGTAAATACAGAGAGTAAGCCATGCTGAGGCATGAGTCACGGCCCAAAGCACAGAGAACAAAACAGCAAATTACCCACTTAAAATTAGAAACAAATACCAAATTGATCACAGGAAAATAATGGCTGGGAATAAACATGAAATAGATGTACAGAGCAGGATAGGGCTGTTTTGATTGTGTGAGTCATACAAGCTTTCATTTCTCTTTTCCTTCTCTCTCTCCTCTAATGATGAAGATATTCCTTATTATCAGCAGAAAAATGTTGACGTGTCCCAACATCAGAGGAACGAACCCAACACACACCAGTCTGCCTTTACATGTTTATTTATACTTCATATCAGTCTTCCCCCAAACTAGAACACTTCGCACACTTTCCCTCAGATTCATCATCCGCCTGCAGGGGGAACCGCTTGTTCTGCTCGTTGAGTTCAGAACGACATACTACTATATCTATGCAGTATGCATACTATGTCTAGTATGCATTAATTGCTTATACAAAGTGTATTTTAAGACTTTAGGATTTACTTTAAGTCTTTATTTCCTAGGTGACCTGTAATGAGAAGATTTATAGGAACATTTTAGAAGACACTGAACACTGAGCACAATAAGCATACTGCAAAAATAGTAAAAAAGTGAAAGTGAAGTGGCCCAGTATGGTGACCCATACTCCTAATTTGTGCTCTGCATTTAACCCATCCAAGTGCACACACACAGTAGTGAACACCCCCCCGGAGCAGTGGGCAGCCAATGTTGCAGCGCCCGGGGAGCAGTTGGGGGTTCGGTGCCTTGCTCAAGGGTCTCACCTCAGTCGTGGTATTGAGGGTGGAAGAGAGCACTGGACATTCACTCCCACCACCTACAATCCCTGCTGGTACCGAGACTCAAACCCGCGACCTTTGGGATACGAGTCCAACTCTCTAACCATTAGGCCACAACTGCCCCAAGAGCAGTATACAGTGTTTTGTATCAATATATTCTTTATGCATGTAATATTGATCTTTTTAAGACATTTTCTTATTAAAATTATATATTTTTATTTCCAAGGTACCGTAAGATGAGCAAAAAATTTAATTACACACTTTGCACACACAGTATGCATAAATAATAAAAACAGTATGTATAGTATGCATGTATTCTTTATGCATGCAATACTTATGTTTTAAAGACTGTTTTACTAAAAATACAAACAAAATATTTTTTATTTTCAGGGTGCCAAGTGATGAAAAGATCTATAAAAATAACTCAGAAAAAATTGCACACTTTTCACAGTGTTTGCACAATTGTAGCTGAGCTGAATATATTAAGTAATGTACAGGTTTGCCAGGATGCATTGTTTACTGATTGGTATTTGAATATAGAGTTATAGAGTTATAGAATAGTACATATTATTAGAAATATTATTAAGACATTATTTTTCTGGGCCTTTTTCTTTTGCCAGATTGAGGACAATGAAAGACGACAAGCTTTATACTGTAAGTTGATGAGTTGATTTGTCTGCATTTTAATGTTCCGTTGCTCATAGAGTTTTTCTAGATAGACGCCGAGGATTTTTTTTTGCTGGCTTCCATGGCTGCAATACGAGGTGTTTTCTGCCAACTGGCAACCCGGGGTGTCGAAATTCTATTGGGTAAATTGGCAGTGGGCGGAGTCACATAGACCAAAACAAAAGCAGGCATTCCGACACCAAACGCACGTTTCAAAGTAGAATAACTGGCTGTTGCATTGGTTTTCTGAGAAACAATTATGTGAACTTAGCATGTTTCCTAAATATCTGCAAACATGTATGGTATTTTTATGCTTTAGTACAGCAATAAATAAATAAATTACACACAGGAGCACCTTCCAAGAGATCTCACTTGTGATTTCTCTTTCTTACAGGTCAAAGGACTGTTGATCCTGATCCTGAAGCAGCAGAACGGACGGGTTGTACAGAAAGCCCGGGACAGAGCTTATTCACCCTGAAGATGTGTTTTTGTGGTATTGAGCGATCATGTGGGTGTCCCGACACAAACATGAACAACCTCATCATCTGATTCAACTCCCTGAAGCGCTAATCGCCTGAAGGCGATCACATGTCCTGCTCCAAACCACGGGATAGCAGAAGCTCTGTGTGTGTTACATGATGCGCTTCTAACCCACATCTCAGTATGACTTAAAAAAAATTATTTTGGTGTTTGCATGTGAAAAACTCACTGATGTAAAGCTAGAACAACGTGGTTAGTTGCCAGGGTGTTGCTATGTGGTTGTTATGGTGTCCTGATGGTTTTTTTTAGTGTGTTACTATGCAATTTGGTGGTTTGTAAGTGTCACATATGGGGACACTTCATTTCCAGCGTTATCGTTGACATAATTGCAAAGATATTATTTAAACTGAACTGAGCTGGATGTTGACATCACTGAATTCAATGATGAACTGTCTTTAACTGAAAAATTAGTGTTTACTATTGTCATTTTGCATTATTGACACTATTTTCCTAATTAATGCTGTTCAGTTGCTTTGTCACAATCTGTATTGTTAAAAGCGGTATATAAATAAAGGTGACTTGACTTGACTTGACATATATTACGCTATCTAATAATCTGATACCTTGACTGTACCATGGTAGTGGTGTAGTATTTTTTTGAAAGATTTTTTTGCAGTAAGCATAAAGCGAGGTTTTTTTTATCATTAGTGGTGTTTGCTTAAACAAGCATCACTATTATTATTGCTCATATGTACACTGTAAAAAAATCTGTAAAATTTACGGTAAAAAAACAGCAGCTGTGGTTGCCAGAATTTTACAGTAAAAGTGTACATTTTTTTAAATTGAGATTTATACATAATCTGAAAGCTGAATAAATAAGCTTTCCATTGATATATGGTTTGTTAGGATAGGACAATAATGGCTGAGATACAACTATTTGAAATCTGAGGGCGCAAAAAATCTAAATATTGAGAAAATTGCCTTTAAAGTTGTCCAAATAAAGTTCTTAGCTAAGCATATTACTAATCAAAAATTAGTTTTTGATATATTTACGGTAGGAAATTTTCTAAATATCTTCAAGGAACATAGTCTTTACTTAATATCCTAATGATTTTTGGCATAAAAGAAAAATCGATAAATTTGACCCATACAATGTATTGTTGGCTATTGCTACAAATACACCTGTGCTACCTATGAGTGGTTTTGTGGTCCAGGGTCACATTTTAGGTTTTACGGTTTTAAATTAAATTTACATTTAAATACCGTAATTTCATTAACTGATATAATGTTAATATACCAACCTATTGAAGTACTGAAATCTGTATTGTACCTTTGTAATACACTGATAACCATCAAAAGCAGGTGATGAGAAAGTTACATGATGAATCAAAGCCCATCACAAGCAGCTTTTTAATATGAACATATATAGGAGGTGCACAGTGTCATTCACACAAACACTAAACATCACCATGGTAACACACACGTAACTGAAATAATGTAATAAACATTAATTTAACAACATTAGCTGTAACATACAACCCTACTGTACAAAACTGATAAGAAAAAACTAAGAAGAAACAGTTATTTCAACAACAACAACAACAAAAAAAACATCAAATCTGAAATGTAACGCAGGGAATTCTGGGAATGTCAATTTACGGTTATTCACTGTAAATTATAGGTTCTTTTTCACTTCCAAAAATGGTATACTACCGTAAAATTACAATGTAATGTCCTATACAGTTTTTCACCATATATAGTAGGGGAAAAGTTGGAGCTTTTTGACTAGCAAGCAACTACCTAGCAACCACCCACTCATTAGCTTGTCAAACCACCCACAAAATCCATTGTGGCAGTGAGTTTTGCACTCTCCAAATATGTTCTAGTTTCCTTTTCCTTTAAAAAAACACTGAAAGAAAAGAAAATGCAAGTAGTACAAAGTATACAGTTTATCCAGATAATGCTTTTTCACTTTAGGTTATCTGTGTTAAACTGCAGACTCCTTTGTGACTACAAGACAAACGTTAAAGGCATCTCTAAGAGTAAACAAAACAATTCCAAGCCAACATGTCCAGGTTGAAAAAGGGGGTATTTACTGGCTGCGAGCAAACACACACACACTCACACACACTGACACACACATCTCTCTCCCAGTGAAAAATAAAAGTTGTTCTGTAAGTCTTTTGTTCCTTCAGACTAGCACACACATTTATAGTCATGGCTGAGAGGAGACGGCACCAGTGGCCCCTCTTCACACTGTGAGAGAAGGAGACATGGAAGGAAAGCTGGGATTGTCACAGAAGTCAAATTGTGTCGTCCTCTTCAGAGCCGTGTGACGCAGGTAAACTGCTCTGCTTACCGTGCATGCTGCCATGTCAGCTTGTTGAGTATTGGCTTTTTTAAGTGTGTTTGTGTAGGATTGTATTGACAAAGCAGTCTGAGCTCAATCAGGACGTCACTGTAAAAATCTATGAAACTATTTGCCAAAAGCAATAGAAAAATCTGAAAGCAGCTCAGAGAATGTATATTTTTAAGGTGTTTTGGTGTATTTTTTACTGAAAAAAGAGTGGATGTGCCTGTACGTTGACTTTATGAGAAAATGTAGCGTTCTTAAAGCGATAGTTCCCGAAAAATGAAAATTTGATGTTAATTTACTCACCTTCAGGCCATCCAAGGTATAGGTGCCTTTTTTTTCTTTAGTAAAACAGTAAAGAAGATTTTTAGCTGAGACCATGGTCCTTGATGATCTATAAAATGCAAGTCAACGGCTGCCCATTTTTGAGAATAAAAAAGCATATCAGGCAACAGAAAATAAATACCCGTGGCTCCTGATGATGCATTGAGGTCTTATGAAGCAAAACGATCGGTCTGTGCAAGAAACAAAACATTATTTACAAAATTATTTCCTATAATCCATAGTTTAGGTACACAGCCCAGAGTTATGTCCATTTTGCGTACAAATCATTCTTTTGAACCAGTTCTTTTAGTGAACTGAATGAACCAGTTCACCAAATTGGACTGAATCGTCCAATGGAAGTTCCTCAATCAAAACTCACTTTTAGACGTCTGACAGTCACTCTGACTCGAAATGCATCTGATCCTATGATGAATGAACTCATCCAGTGCTTCAGTTCCTCCAACAGCCACTGAACTGAGGAAACAGTTCAACTCGGACGAAGACCGATGAGCCGCTGATATGCGCATGTGTGAACCGAGCACTTTAATGAAGGGACCAAATGAGTATATAACTTCAAAAGGAATACATAAAACAACTCTCATATGACAAAATTTTTATGGTTGAATGAAAGTTTTTCTCTTGGTTTATGTAAAAACACTTTATATGCTTTGGACAAGTAAAACGTACACGTTTCATATCACTATTGGGTGCTTTAATAATATAATTGTGTATATGTTACATCATTGCATGATTACAAGCCAGTGAACCAATTTATTGACATGAACTGTCCAAAAGAATCAGTTTGTGGAAAATAATCGGATTTCCCCACTTGCCTGAGGCTCTGGATTACAGGTTATAATGTTGTAAATAATGTTCTCTTTTTTGCTCAGACCAATCGTTTCGCTTCCTAAGACCTCAAGATATCATCAGGATTAAATTTGTCTTTCTTGATAAGCTTTTTTATTCTCAAAAACGTGCAGCCACTGACTATTTATTTAACATATTTAATGAATCACCAAGGACCACGGTTTCAGATGAAAATCTTCTTTACTGTTCTACTGAAGACAATAAGTCACCTACATCTTGGCCTTAGGGTCAGTAAATGAACAGCAACATTTCCATTTTTGGGTGAACTATCCCTTTAAGATCCATTTTCAATGTCTTTCTCAGAGTTTTATTATGGAGGACGTGAAGCCTGAGGGCTGGCGGCAGCTACTTCAGCCCCATGGTGCAGCTGGCAAAAACAGCACAAGTCTCCTTCACAGGTCCTCATCATGGAGGAGGCCTGGGGAGCGGGGTTATTACGAGGGCCCCGCAGCGCAAGTGAATGAGCCCCCTCGCGGAGCTCGTCCGCTGAGCTGCATAGAGGGTGGCAGGATGGACAAATGGCTTCAGACACTGGAGAGACTCCAATCACGTCGGCTTCAGAATCAAATACCTCAGTTTGCGGACAGGACAGTATCAATGCCAGTTCTCCCGAATGAGACAGTGGGAAGTAACCCACTATGTCCTGATGTTTCCTCTCTGCGCAGGAGGAATCAGACCCCTAGCGTCTGTCCCAGTGTGTGTGAAAGCTCCTCGAGCAGCCTGGAGTCTGTTCACATTAAAGCTGCTCCTGCTGCAGAAAGAGCTCAGTTCTGCGCTCTCGCTCCAGTTCGCTTCGGCTGGCTGCCCATACAAAGACATGTGATACTGACGGACATCTCTGACAACCACCATGACAACAGTAGGTGCCAGGTAAGAAAGAATAACAGGAAAGGGAAGTGATGTCACAGCAGGAAGTTTATTTTCAGAGAACATTTTCAGATAAAAAAAAAGGGAAAAAATAGAAATTTTTAGATTTTTCTGTTGAATTTAAAGCATTTTTCAGTTTTATTTATTAAATTTTTGTTTTTATTTATGTATTGTACATTGATATATTTTTTTATTTATTTACTTAATAAATACTGTTAGAATTTTTCAGATAACTTTTCAGATTTTTCTAATGAATTTGAAGCATTTTTAAATTTGATTTATTTTCTTTATTTATCTATTGTACCTTTATATATATATATATATATATTCAGTGCATGCAGATCAACACAGAAATCTTAATTTGTCAAAAAAATTACATTTGATTGTGTAATACATGTTTCCTGTTATTTAAAATAGCTCAAACATTTCAGTGTTGTGTAATGATGTATTTTATAATTTTATAAAAATGTGTAGTTAGTACATTTAATATACATTAATACATAAAAAACTTTTATAATTTATATCTTATTATGAATAACGTAAAAAAAAAAAGTAGCATTACTTTTAAAACTAGCATTCCCTAGCACTACATTTTGTGGTCTGGTTTTCTGCAACTATACTGTAGTTTATCTAGTTTATTTCCAGTAGATGTCACTGTGACACTGTTGTTTCTTGTATCACACATGACACTTTGGCACCTGTTTTTCCTGATAAACTTTGACTGATTCTGTTTCTATGTGTTTAGCTGGGTGGCTGGAGAGTGGGGTGAATGCAGTAAGTCTTGTACAATTATATAATTTACAATTATAATTTACTTGTTACATTTATTATTATTATTATTATTATTTATATCATAGGACTTGTTTTCAGATAACTTTTACTTTTATTTTTTTATTTTAATTTGTATGATTTTTAATTATCTATTGTTTATATATATTTTTGTTTATTTCATTTTATTATTATTTTTATTTATTTATACCATAAGAGTTGTTTTCAGATAACTTTTTCACATTTTTCTAATGCATTTTAAACATTTGACATTTTTATGTATTTATTTATTTTATTGTTTTTTTATTTGTTGTTTATTGTTTTTATTTATTTATTTAAATTTTTATTTAATTGGCCTGATTTTGTATTAGCCTGAACTACCAAAAGACATCTTTGCACAAAATTCAATTCAAAATTCAAAATAACTTTCCGAGACTGGATGCCACTCGCCGAATTAGCCATGCAACATAATGAGGTCAAGTGAGAACAATGTACTACTGTACTAACATATTTATCATTAATGGTGCTTGCTAAGGCAATCATCACTGTGACTATTGCTCATATTTAAGGTTATTCCTTAAATCGTGTGTCTTGTTGGGAGAGATGTGCTGTTACTTCTTTAACCAATAACGGTGGCAGAAAATGTAACAGTCCAGATACATACTGCATTCTGTTTCCCGTACTTCAAATGTCAGTGTACACTGTCCAGTATGCAGTATTCTAATATTCAGTTCTGACAAAGAGAGTTTGAGTTATAAATTACTTTCTGAATGGTTTTAAAGTGTCCCTTGATAATGGCTTATCTGCTCTTTGGAGAGGAAAATTGTTCTTGCGTAGTAATCTGACTATCAGATATCCACTAAATCATTTAGATTCAGCTTTTATATTTTACATTTTAGAAAGCTGCAGTTTTTAAATGAAAATAAGATTTTCTGTGAGAGTTTCGTGAGACAGTTCCCCTGTATCATACAAATTGTACAGCTGAAAACTTTTTTTTTGCCCAGAAGTTCAGAGCGATTGAGTCATCCAGACTGGAGATAAAAGCTTTCAAAGTCCCAGACTTTCTGCCACCACTGAACCCCGCACAACAATCACTCTCACCTTTACTGGGAACAAACCCCGGAAATGAACAGCCGAGCTCTCAGACCTGATTTACCTTAGTGCCTACTGATGCCAGAAAGAGAGAGAGCAATAGAAATCTGAAAGGAGGGAAAGAGAGAAATCTCTGGATGACTGTCAAGTACGTGAACTTCAGTGGCTGTCTGGGTGCTGCGTGAAGTCGAGATAAAACCGCTCTGTCAGCAGGTGCTTGGATCTATTCTGAACAGATTTAGGAACGAATAGATCCAACTGCATCTGAGCCAACAACAGGATCACAACAGTGCTGTGGGACCCAGAGGATAGAAACAAATCCAATAGCATTTGTGAATCGCTCAAACCTTTCTATCTTTTCACTTCAGTCATTTTATGTTTAAAACCCTTGTGCGGTCTTCGGTCAATTTTGACCGGAGAATTTTATATTTAGAATTTTTAAAAATCGTAGTTTCACCTGAATGGTCTGAAACTTGGTGACTTTTATGGCACTTGGGATGGGAACACAAAAAAAATTGGACAAAAGTGGTCGTAAAAAAAATTAGTCACACTCATGGTCTTTTTGTGTGTACAATCTACAAATCCCCCACAATGCAGAAAAAAATTGTACAGCAATGAAGGGGTGAAACTCTAAAACATCTAGAGTGCAAAATCAACACACCAACTCACACACGCGCGGACACACACTTGTACACACACACACACCTATGAACTGGTGTGACTGTAACCCTGCAACTATGTAAAATAAAAACAATAATTCAACTACAGTGCAGTAAAAAAAGTGGACAGCAAGGAAGGGGTTACACTCTAAAACATCAAGAGTGTAAAACAGATACATCCACTCACACACACTTACTTACACACACTCACAGACACACACATACAGAATTATACATACTCAACTGAACTGGTATGGCTATAAACATATAGCGAAAATGAGTCAGAAGCCTGAAATAAGAGGTTAAAATCAGATCAGACCCAGAAGGATTAAACTCTGATAAAGCATTCCTGTTCATTTTTGTAAAATTTGTATAGAATTGAAATGCTTTCTGTGTGTTCAGGTTTGAATGTAGTAATAATAATGTAAAAACCTACACTTCAAATAAACATTTAAAACAACAAAAAATATAAACCTTGACACAGAGGAGTCCTTGAGAATGCCTTAATATACATTTACACCCACAACCTAATAAAAGTAAACAATTATGTATAAAAACAACTAGTGAATTCACAAGGCTCTCTATAGAGTCCTATACAGGAATCTAGTGGTTACACCATGAAATGACAGGTTTTTCTCATTTTTTTTGCTCTGACCAGGAGGTGCTATTCTGCCTTCAAAAATTGGATTTTAAAGTCCTAGTCTCTATTTTAATCTGAAATACTACATTAATTGAAAAATAATTTGTAAAAAGTAGGGGGAAAACAATTTCAATAGGAAAAATTTATCATAATTATTGCATGAATATTAATTAGCATTTTTTTTGCTCTGATCAGGAGGTGCTATTCTGCCTTCAAAAATTGGATTTTAAAGTCCTAGTCTCTATTTTAATCTGAAATACTACATTAATTGAAAAATAATTTGTAAAAAGTAGGGGAAAAAACAATTTCAATAGGAAAAATTTATCATAATTATTGCATGAATATTAATTAGTACCATAAAATTCTCTCAATATACAAAAGAAAAAAAATATTATTGAACAAAAATATATTAGATTGATTTTACTGAAGAAAAAAATTTTAAAGTCCTAGTCTCTATTTTAATCTGAAATACTACATTAATTGAAAAATAATTTGTAAAAAGTAGGGGGAAAACAATTTCAATAGGAAAAATTTATCATAATTATTGCATGAATATTAATTAGTACCATAAAATTCTCTCAATATACAAAAGAAAAAAAATATTATTGAACAAAAATATATTAGATTGATTTTACTGAAGAAAAAAAGTTACATTTCAGGTGTCCGGTCACTTTTGACCGTGAAGACCATGAGTGTGACTCCCAAATGAGGAGAGCACAAGGGTTTTAAGCTTAGTATTTGGACACTTAAAGGAATAGTTCATCCACAAATGATAATTTGCTGACAATGTACTCACCCTTTGGCCATCCAATATATAAATGAGTTTGTTTCCTCATCAGAACTGATGTGGAGATATGTAGTATTACATCACTTGTTCATCAATGGATGCTCTGCAGTGAATGGGTGCCGTCAGAATGAGAGTCCAAACAGCTGATAAAAACATCACAATAATCCACAAATAATCCACTGTAGACGGCACCCATTCACAGCCCATTGGTGAGTGAAATTTCTCCAAATCTGTTTCCATGAAGAAACAATCTAATCTACTTCTTGGATGGCTTTGAGAGTGATTATATTTTCAGCAAATGTTCATTTTTGGGTGAACTACTTTAAGTCAGACTTGAAATGCATATGAATGTCATTGCATTAGATCAGAAGATATCAAACCATGAAGCAGCACATGCTTTCAAATACTGCAGGATCTGTTATCTAATGAAATCACATTCATGTTATCTGTTTTTTATACAACTAAAGTCAGTGTGTTCTTTCAGCAGAAACTGAAGTCTCCCATCACTCCAGTGTTGCTCAGCACTCCTGCCAAACTTAATGGACCAAGACCAAATGGTGCGTATTGACTAAGATGGCATATGAAATTTCTGAATGAACAACTTGGCCGAGGACACCGGTGAATTATGTATGGGAGGTTTGAGCTTTACACACTGGTGGTATAAAATACCATCTTTATTAAATTCAGTGAATTGCTTCATGCAGAAATCTAAGTTGTGCATATCATTAATGTTTCTACAGTTGCACTACGAAAGATTTTTGGGGTAAAAAGTGAACAAAATGTACATTAAATAATCAGTGTTCTGTGATATTCTGTGGTAAGATATTAAGATATTAAGACATTCTTTTCAAGATTTGAGTTCTTCTTAAGTTTTGTCTTAAGAACTTTTTTTAGGTATACAAAATATTCTTAGTTTGAAAATAAGAAGAAAATGACAGTTAAGAAGAATTTTATTCTTCTATTTTGTGAATCTGGCCCTTTTATGCGCCAAGTTATTCTGCAAAAAAAAAAGACAGAGAAAGTGAGATATAATCTTCTGTTTCTTAATTAGTTGAATTTTTTTTATTGAGCTTCAGTATAAAACAACAACAACAACATACATCAGATTCTGATCTCTTCTTAGTTTGATGAAATGAAGTTATTTTACCTTACATAAAGAGTTTTGGAGTCAGAGCTGAGTGTTTGGACTTACTGGAAAGTTTTTGGAGTCAAAGTTAAGTTTTTGGAGTCTGGGATGAGTTTTCGTAGCCGTGCATATTGTTTAGAGCCAGGGACAGATTGTTTGGAGTCAAGGGAAGACTGTTTGGACTCAGAAACGGATGGTTTTGGTTCAGAAGCAGATTGGTTGGAGTCAGGGACAGAGCAGTATTAGGTTTTCAGTCTCATGCGGTGGTTCCCTCAGTGCCGTCATCCTCTCAGCGTTCCTGCTTCTCCTGCTGCTGCTGCTGGGATCTTTTCTCTGGGGTCTGTCAGCAGGTGACGAGCGTATAATGATGCTGCCGCAGCGTCACTGTAATCACAGCCGTGAGAGCAGGGCCGAGTCAAGGGGAAAGAGGAGGAGGAGGAGGAGGAGGAGGAGGAGGCAGCGATGCAGGAACGACGAGCACTTACTCCTCCACAAGTGTTTACAACAGAAATGTTTGGGAATTTCTCTCTCTTTTTTTCTTTTTTCTCACCAGCTCCAGATGGTGTGTGACTCTGAGAGGACATGAGCGCCATGCTGATCAATGTGTATGTGTGTGTGTGTGTGTGTGTGAGTGTGTGTGAAGGCCGTTCTTCGGTTGTAAACACAGAATGAGTGACTAAGGGTCAATGACAGACACTTGCTGCCTGTCGCTCTGGATCACACTGTGTTGCCAGATCACCTGTCTGTTGAATCCCAAAACAGTGGTGGAAAAGAGATGAATTCTGCTTTGATTCTGGAGCAAATTGCATGGTTTTAAAGGGAATTAAAGAAATGTGTTGGGAAAATCCCTTTTTTAGCCTCTCTTTTCATTTCCTAAAAGAAAAACAGGGATTTTATTTAGAACTTAGGTGACTAACTTTCCATTGCTCAACTTTGCAATTTTTCTGATACAAAATATTTGTTTGTAGGGTTGCACAAGCTGACCAAACAAATATGTGATAATATATCAATATAAAATAATAATAATAATAACTGTGAAATTATTATTGTTATAAATAGAAAATCATTAAAAATTATTATTGTAACATTTAACTGTAAAAATATCAATTAAATTATAATAATTGTATTGTGAAATAATATTTTTTTCTGATAGAAATGTTATTGACAAAAATGAAATAATAAAAAATATTAAATTCATATAATAAAGAAAATGAGATATTTCTATGTTAATATTTCACAGTAAAAAAAATTAGTATTTAATAAAAAATTGAGTATTTCAGATTATATAATAGTAATAATAACATTTATTAATTAAATTTTTTTTTATTTTTTTTATCATCAATCATGGTAAGCAGTATCACCATTTCTGTTCATTTTAATTAATCGAACAGCCCTTGATGTGTAATTGATGCTGTATTTATTTTATCATTCATATACTGCTACAAATGATTCAACTATCCTCAACCAATGGATTTGTTCGGGGGCGGGGCTATCTGCTGGTGGAGACTGCTCAGTATTGTTTGAAAACAGTCATTATTTTGCAGTTTTATATGGTGATGCTCATGAGACAGAATTTACACACTTCAGCTTTAATTTTGATCCAAACCAATTTGTTTCCACCGCGACTCTTAAATGACACGCCCTCAACTCGGAAAGCCAAAGCTTCCCAGAGTTTCCCACTGGTAATTACGGCTTTTTTTGTATTACGAATTGTATTGTGTGAATACATAAATACAGTACGACGCAGAAGCTGACACACAACACCTGAGCGGCTGTCAAGAGTGTGTGCCGCCCTGCCCCGCGAACCGGGAGCATGCTGGGAAAATAGCTGCCTGTCAGGTATTAGCTGCCAGAGTGAAGTGTGATTACTTGCCTAAAAAACCGACGACAAGAAATAGTTAGCTTGCCACCTTCGCTGTCAGAAGATGCTGTGACTGCATCTCCATGGAAACGCTGACGGAGCACAATCCATCACAGCCGTGTCTGTCAGATGGAGATCTCTCCATGACACCTGTAAGTGATGCAGGTTAAGTCGCTCTAAGCAGACCTCTGTTGACAGTGTAAACACACACAGCAGGAAGATCGGCCTTATTGTGACACAGGAGTGGCAGGAAACGCTGCTGGTTTGATATCATACGCAAAAAGAAACTCTTTAGTTGGCTTTATGTTCCATTTCTCAATGAAAAACGCGGAAATGCAACTCAAAGTGGACTTCTTTTTTTTTATCCAGACAGAGAAACTTCGAGGCCTGAACCTGTAGGCTTTACATACTGGAGGACACCTGAAAAAACACCATCCATCCTCCATCAGGTGAGAGACTAACACTAACACTGTTCTGAAAACACTAGTTTGCTTTATATAGGAACTAATGAACTGCACCAGAGTTTGTTATGTTTTGTTCTCAGCGTTTTAAAATCAGAAAATGTCATGCATTATGAGCCCAGTGCTTTAATTTGAAATATTTTTCACACTATTAAAATGGACTTTGGGTCTCTCGGCCACCAAACAGAGATGCCTGCTTGTTGTCCTACATACCATAAATACAGAATTTACCCAAAAGACACCGCTAACATAGATTTGTATGATGGTATGGTTCATAAAGCCTTGCTGCTCTTGATATAAACTTGTGACTCAAAAGCTCATGGTTTGATTAATGCCAGTGTATATTTACACTGAGTGCAAATAGCCAACCTTGTTGGCAAAAGCTATTTTTTTCTTTTTTTAACAAATGGAATTTATTCATTTTTTATCAATAATTTATTTTATTTTTAAATTATTATTCTTTTAAAAATGTTACACAATTTTTTAAACATTCTAAAATATAAAATGTTTTAAAGACATCCCTTAAGCTCATCAAGACTGCATTTATGTTCAGACTGTAATATTGTGAAATATTATTACAATTTAAAAGAACTGTTTTCTATGTGAATATATGTTAAAATGTAATTTATTCCTGAATTTTCAGCATCATTACTCCAGTCTTCAGTGTCGCATGATCTTTCAGAAATCATTCTGATATGCTACTTTGCTGCTCTAAAACATTTCTTATTATTAATATTGTTGAAAACGGATGTGCTGATTCATATTTTTGTGTAAGAACAGTATTTATTTGAAATAGAAATGTAATGCATATTTGCTGAACTAAAAATATAGTGTTGTAGAAACGTATTTAACACCGTTTATTACCATGTTTAAATCTATTGGATTTTCTTGAAAATCAGAGTCTGCAGATCCGGTCTGGGCCCAAGTTGCTTTTCTATGCGAGCATTTGGCAAGAACATAAGTGTATTACAAATCTCTGATCAAGTTTGTCTGCGCTGTGCTTCTGTTCCTCAGCAGTCTTTCATTTAGAAACCCTGTAAATGCTCTTTAAAAGCATCTTGTAATCAGTTATAATTCCAGATTACCTACACACAAACCAAGCTAAACTGAACACTGTACGGGCTGTTTCTATCAGATAAATGTGTTCTCTGAAAAAAATCTCTTTCTGTGTCTGTTTATTGTGCTGTTTATGGGATGTTTGCTCCAGGCAGCTTTTCTGCATCTCTTTTTGATTAACTTTGTTCCATTTTACTCCTCCAATGGGACATTGTGGGGCCGAAGAAAGAATAAACTGTTTTAGTATCTATAGAAATGCTCCTTCTTTTTCTAAAAACAATATAAAACCAAAACTGACATGTTCCTGGTGTCATATCAATTGGATTTATATGTATAAAATCAAGTTCTCTCCTCTAGTTTAAACATTCAGTTTTACACTCAAATATGAAATATTGCATAAGTAACATTGGTTATGAAAGCCATTCCATGGAGGTACAACAGCAAAGCGAAAGTACTTTGATAGTCAGTGTATACACCAGATAAGAAAAAATAATATTTTTATTCAAAAAAATACTTCTTAAAGAAGTTAAGTTAAAAAATGACATTAAGAAGAATTTTATTCATAAGAATGTTTCGCGAATTTAGAATTAGAAAGTGAGACAATCTTCTGTTTCTCAGTTTATTTATAAATTAATTTAAATTAAGTTATTTTGACATTTATTTTAACTTTATTTATTTATTGTGTTTCAGTATAAAATACAAAACATACTGTTTGTAGTTTGATTAAATTAAGTTTTTAGAGTCAGGACAGTGAATTAGAGGAAAAGTGTTTGATACCAGATTTTATTCTGTCTTTTTACCATTTTCTCCTCCAATAGGATGTTGTGGGGCTGAAGAAAGAATAAACTGTTTCCATAGCTCTAGAAATGCTAATGCTCTCCTTATTTTAAAGACAACATGAACTCAAATTGTTCAAAATATTCTTTCTTAATGCATGCTTCTGGGCTCATAACAGTTGGATTTAACCAGATAAGGTAGTAGCATTATTTTTCTCTAGTTTAAACATCCAGTTTTACACTCAAATATTGTATATTTCAGAAGTTAAACTGGTTATGAATGCCATTCCATGAAAGGCACCATGGTACTTTGACATACAGTATATACTGTGGTACTGTTTTTTATGTTCATACGCACAAGCATCTGTATTTTGTAAGTTCGGGCTCCATGAAAGTAAGGCAAGATTAAAACTCTCCTGTGATTCTCATAATTGAATAAAAAAGTGCCTTGAATTCCAACTTAACCGAATTGCCCCCAAAACTGATACGGTTGCTATGTGAGACTCTGGATGATGCACAGTCTCTTTGTTCTCAGATAACTCGGCTGATTTGAGCGCATGCGTCGTCCTGGCCCTGAACACCGCTGCGGTTATCGCCAACATAAATCTGCAGGCCCAGCAGAGAAGAACTACATCCCACACAGCAACAGCAGGTACACCTGATCTCTAATGACCTTTGGCTTCCTCAGACACAAACTTCACTTGAAACACACTGACATTTAGCAGGATGAGGGGATGTTATATAGACAGCAGAGAGACATTGAGGTCTTTACACTCTGGTCATGGTGGAATTAGTGCATCTCACACAGTTGGAGTTTTTCTCCTAGTGAAACCTAGTGAGCTGTTGGTTCATTTTTTTCCCAAGAGAAAGTTTTGAGAAGTTTTTTGAGAAATAAATAAATAAATTAAAAAAAAAAGTTTTCTAGGTGTTAATCTCCCTTTCCTTGCAACATACAATTTGTAATTATTTAAAATTAATACAATAATTTTATAAATAAATTTCTATTTAATAATACAAAATCCATATAGTATTTTAATAATGTATTTTTTACTTTAGTAAAAATGTGAATTTCATTTTTTCCCAGGAGAAAGTTTTTGCTCATCCATCTTAAACTGAGATCTGTGTATTGGATGGATGGATGGATAGATAGATAGATAGATAGATAGATAGATAGATAGATAAAAAAAAGATAGATAGATAGATAGATAGATAGATAGATAGATAGATAGATAGACAGACAATAATTCTAGGATTTAATCTCTCTTTCCTTGCAACATACAATTTGTATTTTTTTTATTATTATCCACATAATCTTTTTTTATTTTTTTGCTTTTGTAAAATTTGTATTTTATTTATTTATTTGGTTTTATAGAGGAGAATATTTTTGCTTGTAGAAAATACATTTTAAACTGGTAATCCAGCTAATGACTATTTTAGACCAGCTAGAAATCAGCTATCATGATCCAAACACAGCTGTTATAGTGTCTAGCAGAAATAATTAATAATAATAACAGATAATAAATGCCAAAGATATCAGAGATTTTACAGATTTGTGACTTTAATGCACCTTTGAACATCTTGATTTTGGACTTTGAACTTTAATGAAACTTTTTAATGAAAGTGTGTGCTCTGTGTGTGCAGGAGGCTTTAGCGATCAGACGGCCTGATTTCATCCAGCGCTCACAGGCCAGAGTTCGAGCCCTGGAGAGGAGGTCGCAGGAGAGGCAGAACTCCCACAGCTCACCGCAGACACTCGAGAGCAGAGGTGTGCGGCACACGCTATCAGCATCAAGACATTCATACACGTTCAGATGCAGTCGAAATGAACAACACTTTCATGTCCTCAATATTCAGACAGACTCTGTTTATCAAATCAGCATCTGAAATGAGAGCAGGGATTGTTCAGAACACTGGAGAGAATATCAGTGGCTGTTAAAAGGCAGGAAATATCGCCCCCGTCTGAATACAGTTAAAACTGCATCACTAACATTACTTGCTTTAGGTCAGGGGTGGCGAACTCCGGTCCTGGAGAGCCGCAGCCCTGCAAAGTTCAGCTCCAACCCTAATTAAAACTCACCTGCCTGTAGCTTCCTAGTAACCGTTCAGACCTTGATTAGCTTGTTCAGGTGTGTTTGATTAGGGTTGAAGCAAAACTCTGCAGGGCTGCGGCTCTCCAGGACCGACGTTCGCCGCCCCTGCTTTAGGTGTTTTAGCAATATTATAAAAGGCATTACTGACTCTGAATTCATTTTATGAGTCATGTCTTAAGATGTTGTAAAATTATTATTATTATTATTATTGCAAACAAAAAGATAGTAGTGTTTTTTTTCCCTCAGCATTACACTGACCAGTAAATGGTTCAAACAGGCTAAGTACAGTCATTTGCTAAGTTAAATGAATTAGCATTTTAAACAAATCGGTTGATTTAAGGATTCAACTCACTCATTAAGACAGTCACTTGCTGCCACCTACTTTCATATTTTAAAAAGTAGCTCATTATTTCATTTTTGCAATCATTTAATATTTCGACATTAAAATGTTGTATTTAAACTTAACATAACTTATGCAAAATCCATCTATGGATTTTGTTTATAGGGATTTCATTTGATTGTTAATAGCCAACATGTTTTTTTTATTCAGATTGATTTTATTAAATTTAAGAATCTGACATAAATGGACACAGATATGACAATACATTTTCATAATAATACATCTCTTTGGTTTTTTCTGCTCAGTGTTATTTCAGGGTTTTGATATCTCAACTGAGAGATCACATCCTGTTTATTGTATTATAGTGACTATTTAATATCACATGTAAACTTTGACTAGGCTAGACATGTTGCCTATTAATTGTATACAATATATGAACCTGAAAGCATATTTAAATTTTTGTGTATTTTGTGTTACTCCATAATAATGTTCTAGTTGAGGGCATTTGTAGTATAGGTATGGGGCCCAAACATAACCTCAAGCCCAGGGGCCCCCGGCCCCGTAAGTCCTGACCTGATCAAACCTGACCAGTAGAAATCAGTTTGAGAACAGAAAACCACATTAGGCTGGTTTAAGGGTTCTTAATTGTGATGAAATCACTGTATAACACATGGCCTCTTATTGTTTAATGTAGCACACATACAGAATCTGAATGGCTGTAAACATGGACAGCTGAATGCATAATCAAATTAGACAAAATATTACATAAACATGCAAAGGTATGTGTATAGCTTAAATAACAGCTGTTGGAAATCTGTGGCGTTTTTTGCATCCATAAATTCAATGTGGGCCTGATTATTCCTGTATTTCACTGCAGAGGACATATTGTAAACAGAAGGCTTGCTTCTTGTAATTTTTCAAAATGAGACTTGATTGTAGATTAATATTAAATGAGTGCACCACTTTATTCTGATTTTGGGGATCCATAACAAGTTGATGTTTGACCAACATTTAATCATAGATTCCACAGTTTCTTCAGTATAATTTTGTCATTAAATGAGTGTTTACCTATGCAGAAACCCCATTTATTGTGTGTATGTTTGTTCTGCAGAAAGCCTTGTGAAATCCAAAGACAGAAGCATCATGGGAAAGAGTTTACAGCTGCGGTCCAGGAAGTAAAGACCATGCCAGTTCCGGTTTTGAGAAACACCTTTCCTGCTTTATTTGTCTTTCAGACACACACACACACACACACACACACACACACACACACACAGGTGTATCAGTGCTATTTGTATTGAAGGTGTTGTGTGTGTCTGTGCGGCCGCAGGGTTTTGCTGCCCTGATTGTGCTTTTCACAGCTTGTTTGTTTTGCTGCCGCTGAATGAAACCTCATCCGATTAGATCTGGTCTCACTGTGCTTCCGAATTAAAGCTCCCTGATGCACGGCTGGATGGATTCTGCACGAATGAGTGCCCGTGTTCAGAAGTTTGATTTAAGCCGCCGATGTGGTGTATGACTGAATAAGCCGGTTATGTCAGATAACGGTGTAAATATTCAATGTTTGTTTCTTAATTCTGACTCTGATGTGTTCTGATCTCACAAAAGATCAATAGAAATATGATACATTGTTTTTCTTTTAATGAAACCTTTGCTTCTTCTGTCTTAAAAATCTTTTTTTAAATTAAAGTTTATAGAAAGAGAGACCAGACTATCAGAGAGACTCAAATGTGGATTTTATTTGTATTACGAGTAAGAAAATACCAGTAGTAATCACCCAACATACCCTTGAAATCACCCAGAAGACCCCAAAAACACTCTGAAAATCACTCAAAACACCATAGCAACCACCCAGAACACCCCAAAAACATTCTGAAAACCACTCAAAACACCGTAGCAACCACACAGAACACCCCATCAACACACAGAAGACCCCAAAAACATTCTGAAAACCACTCAAAACACCATAACAACCACACACAACACACCAACAACAACCTAGCAACACCCTGAAGACCTAAGAAATATTCTGAAACCACTTGAAACACCCTAGCAACCGACCAGAACACCCCAACAACACCCTAGCAACATCCAGAGGACCTCAAAAATCACTAAAAACGCCCTAGCAACCATACAGAACATCCCAGCAACACCCAGAACACCCCAAAAACATTCTGAACATCACCTTGAAACACCCTAGCAACCACCCAGAAGATCCCAAAACATTCTGAAAAACACTCGAAACACCCTAGCAACCACACAGAACACCCCAACAACACCCTAACAACACCCAGAAGACCTTAAAAAATATTCTGAAACCACTCAAAACACCCTAGCAACCAAACAGCCCACCCCAACAACACCCAGAGGACCTCAAACATATTCTGAAAACCACTAAAAATGCCCTAGCAACCATACAGAACACCCCTACAACACCCTAGCAACACCCCAAAAAACATTCTGAACATAACTTGAAACACCCTAGCAACCATCCAGAACACCCCTACAACACCCTAGCAACCACGCAGAACACCCTAGCAACCACCCAGAAGACCCCAAAACATTCTGAAAAACACTCGAAACACCCTAGCAACCACACTGAACATCCCAACAACACTCAGAGGACCTCAAAAATATTCTGAAAACCACTCGAAACACCCAAGCAACCAACCAGAACACCCCAAAACATTCTGAAAATCACTTGAAATACCCTAGCAACCACCAGAACACCCTGGCCTCATTGCAGTGACTTTTGTATGCACAGGTGCCACTTTCTTCTGCAACACTGTCTTTTCCGTTCCATTTGCTCTGTGTCAGTGCTCATATATAAACTGCAGCTAGTATGTCACGCATGCTAACTATGAGCTTTGGTTGACAGGAGTTATAACCAGCTGCCTGAGGTGAAGAAGAGGAGAGAGGAAGAAAAGAGGAAAACAGAAGAGGAGAAAAGAAAACTGGCATCTCGGACAAACAGGCTGCGGGCAGAGCTCTTTAAAAAGGTAGACGTATTGTTTGCAGATGTGTAGGACTGATCTGAGAGCAGCTTAGAAGGCTGATCTCGGATCAGTAATCTTTACAGCACAGGTGGGAGGGATTGAAGTTTTGAGTCGCCGTTACCTGGTTCAACGAATTAGATTAATTCTCAGCATTAATCCTGAAAGTGAAGCTTTTCCAATACGCCGTCGCAAGGTGTGCGTTTATCTTAAGAACATCCCCCTAATTCAATCGGACCCGAGGAGGACGCCTTCTCTAAGCCCGTTCCGCCCCGTAAGCAGTAGGAATTGATTTTGGCCAATGTATTTTGTTCCTAAACACCTCTTACTCGCTCTAAATATAGACTAGTCCCTGACGCAGAGAGTGATATTCAACACATTTCCTGTCAGAAAACACATTTCTAGGCCTGTCTTCACATTCACACATCACACTGACTGGTAACAATCAGCTCGGCTCAGAATGATGCTATTGATTGGCAGCTTTTGACCAGCATTTGTTTATGTTATTATTTGCCGTGTCAAGCATCACTATTATTGCTGTTCATACTTAGTGAGATGAATAAATCCTTACACAATGTCCAAACCTGCTGCACACAGTCAATCACAATATATATATATATACATACATACGTACATGCATATACAAATATATATATATATATATAGAGAGAGAGAGAGAGAGAGAGAGAGAGAGAGATTTTAACCCAGTGAGATTTAGCAATGGGTGGGGCTACAAAGTGATGTCACAGCAATGTTATTTTAGTATTACTTATATACTATTATAGTTCTTATTAACATTTTGAATTTGCCTTTTTTAAATTTTAGTTTTCATCTTTAGTAATTATGTGCTTTTGTTATGTGCTTTCAAATAATACAAATATGTAATTTATTTGAATGTTTTTAAATTTTAAAAAATAGGTAATAACTTATTTTTATTTCAGTTTTAGTTGTATTTCAGTTTTGATTCATTTGTAATAAAAAGTTGGTCTGTTAAGTGCATCACAATAATCCACACCACTCCAGTGCATCAATTAACATCTTGAGAAGTGAAAAGCATGTTTGTAAGAAACAAATCTATCAAGATGTTTTTAAAGGGGTCATATGATGCAGCTAAAAAGAACATTATTTTATGTATTTGGTGTAATGAAATGTGTTTATGCGGTTTAAGGTTAAAAAAACACACTGATTGGCCAGCTATCAAGTGCGTTGTGATTGGCCGAATACCTCAAGCGTGAGACGGAAATGTTACGTCCCTCACCATACTGTGATGTCCGGCCGGAGCGATGAGACAAAAACATTAAAACCCATTATAAACGAGGCATTTGTTGCATCCAGTGGGGACATAATTACTGATTATAATGACTTATACTGTCTTTTTTTACCGTTGCATTGCATCGCGCCACATAAACATAAAACCATGACTGCATTTGTGATCGAAGAAATGACAAACAAGCGCTACTCTACACTGCTCAAAACTCGCGTTTGAATCATCAGTGGCAAATCCTTTAAATATAAAAACGTACTTACAGTCTGTGAGTCAGAACAGCCGGCATTGTAGTCTACTCTCCCAGGATCAGGAAACAGTCCTCCATAAAATGTGCTGCACACATCTGAATATTTGGGTTGAACTGTTCTGGAACAGTGCTGTAAATACAACTTAACCACTGATTTCTAGTTGTGTCCTCTTTTGGAAGACCAACCAAAGTAGTTTTGCTTTCACAACGAAACACACAGAACACAAACACACAGCGTCTTCACGACATGGCAGCGGCAGCAACAATACTACAGCGAGAATAAAAGTTACGCCTTCTTTCTTTGCGTGAACATTTGGGCGGCGTTATGCAAATCTTCCCACATCGTGACGTAGATATGTGGGGGTGTGTTAGAACGAGACGTTTTAGGTAGGTGTGGTTAACTCTTAACTTTTATAAAGAATATCTCTTTGGATTTGAGACTTGAGTCTTTGCAGCTTTACAGATCTTCTTTATGCACCAAGAGCTTGTAACACTCCAAAGAGAAAGGAAAAATTTAAATCACATCATATGACCCCTTTAACTTCAAACCGTTGCTTCCAGCTAAATACGAGTCCATAATCCATAATAACACTTCCTCCAGTGAAAAGTCAATCCCCTGTTGTAAAGCTGTTTTTGGCTTGTAAACAGTGCTTGATCTGTGCAGATTTCTGTCCTGATTCAGACCCGATGACTTTTCCACTGGAGAAAGCAATATTAAAGATAGATGACTCATATTTTAGCCGGAAGCAACAGTTTGAAATTAAAAACGTCTTAATGACGGATTTGTTTATTACAAACATGCATACTTTGGCTTCATTCAATTGATGGACTGGAGTGGTGTGGATTACTTGTGGATTATTGTGATGTTTTTATCAGCTGTTTGGACTCTCATTCTGACGGCACCCATTCACTGCAGAGCATCCACTGGTAAGCAAGTGATGAAATGCTGAATTTTTCCAAATCTGATGAAGAAACAAACACATCTACATCTTGGATGACCTGAGGGTGTGGACATTTTCAGCAAATTTTCATTTTTGAGTAAACTATTCCTTTAACACATGTTACAGAAGGGAAAGTCTTGGTGAGGAATAGAGAAATTTTTTGCAAACTGAACCTTTCAACACTCATGAGAAACAGTAGATGCTATAACAGTAGATGCTACAATTCCTTAAAACTACAATGATTGCTTTTTTATGCAGCATTTGTTCTTTAAAGCACCCTATGGGATAAAAGAAATCACCCAGACATCTAGTATTAATTATGATCTGTTTCGACAAAAACATTTGGTGTGTCCAACTCTTGCTGACCACAAATGATGGACGTTTGGAATAAAACTGACCAAAGGCTTTTTATTTATTCATTTATTTTGCAGAAACTTCTGGAACAGATTTTGCAGAGGGGAGGAAATCACTGACACTGCCTTGGACTCGTGTTTCTTCTCACTCCACAGTTCTCATGCCGGCCCTTGAAAAATATGACATGACATTAGTTATAAATGTTATGGAATAGTTCCTTCCAGAACGAATGTGCCTCAAACATGGACTGCAGCCTCATTTCTGTGGCTCTGGATTACATCTTCTCTCTCTATATACATACATTACTGGTTAAAAATGTGGAATAATTAAGGTTTTTAATGCTACATCTCTTTTGTTCAGCTAGGCTGCATTTATTTGCTCAAAAATACAGTAAAAACAGTAAAAATGTTGAAATATTATCACAATTTAAAATAACTGTTTTCCATTTGAATATATTTTAACATGTAATTTATTCCTGTGATACAAAGCTGAATTTTCAGCATCATTACTGCAGTCTTCAGAGTCACATGATCCTTCAGAAATCATTCTAATATGCCGATTTGCTGCTCAAGAAACATTTATGATTATTATCCATGTTGAAAACAGTGTTTAATGCTTCATATTTTATAGAAGCATTTTTCAGTCCTACAGATTCTCGACAGTATCACATGGCAAACACAGGGCATCAGAAGGACATCTTTTGGCTTCTCAGAGATGCTACAGTCGCCTATAGACAGATTGTTTGCCCTTTCTGTGCCTCTATCCCTGTCATATTATTTTATGTAAGAGACACAACATAAAAGAGCACATTACGGCTCCGGTCCTCATCGCTAAAAGCCTAAAATCCAACATTTGAAGACATTCTTATAACATAAAGGACCTGATCCCGCTCTCAGTCTTGAAGCTGTAGGTTCGGCGGGCTCATTATGACATCAGTAGCCTTCCTCTGTCCGTGTCTCTCCGAGCCATTAGCCGGGAGCAAAAGGAATTTGACCTCATCTGAATAGGAATGCATCACTAATGGAGCCGAGTGCTTGCGCGGGGTGAAAGAGGCTTTTGTCCTCTCCCCGAATGAGCCAAGACTGTCCCACATGTGCCTGCTTAGACGGGACATGACTGTGCAATAGTCGAGTTATAAACTGAAGCCTTGCAGTAAAACTTGATTCGATAGACTTTATATTATGGCCTGTTATTGTGTTTGGTATTTTAACTATTACATTTTCAAATCAAAAGATTGGGCCAGAAGATGTGAAGTGGAGTAATGTAGCTTTCTTTGTGTGTATACGATAAGATGATGCATTTTAGGCCAGACATTACACAAGTACAGAAATGTATGTGCAAATGCTCAACCAAGGACAAATGATCTTTGTAAGTCCCTAAGGAAAGTCATTTCACTCTTTGTAACACTATTTCAGTCATGCAAGTAACAGCTTTTATTTCTTTGAATGGGGAAACATCAAATTCGTCGAAGCAATGCAGCAAACGTACTATTAAACTTCATATTTGAAATCGCCAATGAAATCTGACAACTGTCTAAATTTTGTGTCTAAGGCTCAAACAGCATTAAAAAGCTTATTTTTCAGGTTAGACCAGCCAATGCTCATGTGCAGTTAAACGCGCATTCCCAACCGAAGCTTCTAACTGCAGCTGACGCGATTGGACGCGATGACTTTACCGATTAGTGATTGGCTCTTTTATTCAGAAGGCTGGACTATTCCACCATATTACGCGTTGCATTTTTTCGTAAGTAATGTAAATGTGTATTGTCTTTGTATATCTAAAGCCTTTGCTGAAGTCTTTGGTACAATAAAATTGTCTGTGCATGTTATATTTGCATTTACAGGTTACTCAAGGGTGCGCTAGAATTTTAGAAGATGTTATTCAGGTAAATAGCCATAAATATGGCATAGCCTATGTTGGCTTTACAGACCGTTTTTAATGTTTTATGCCTGAGAGATTAACAAACTTTTTTTCTAAACTGAATCTGTTTGATCTAAAACATTATAAATTATAGATATTATAAATAGTAAATCTATAATTGCTTGAAGTCCCCGATATTTTAATAATGTAACAACACCGTTCTCTAATGACTGACAGTAATGGAACTAAACAAATAGCCTAAAATATTTAATTTTTGATTGTTTTTATTTTTTATTATCTTTTATTAATTTACATTTTAATTAACAATAACTATTCACTTTTCATAAACTCAAAAATCCCTGCATTTTGAGAAACCTTTTTATTGTGAAATTTCTGTTTACATTTTAATTTTAGGTAAAGTTTTAGTAATTTTTACTATGTTTTTGACATTATTATTTTTTTAATATGATCATTTTTATTAATTTTATTTTCAGTTTTAGTTATTTTAGTACATCAAGTTAAACCAAATAAAAAAGTTATTTATTTATTTTAATTTTATTTAATTTAACTAACTTACAGTATTTAAATCAAAATGTTTCACAGGTTATATATGCATTCTCTAGTTCATAAGATGCAATGCAGTGGCCAAAGAGATCCAGCTGATGTATAGGTACAGAAAACAGTGCAGACAAAACGCAAGAACGTTTCCTGCTCGAACAGCCCCCGAGAGTCTCCATTTACATGCCAGTGTTGACAATTCAGCTTTGTGCTTCAAAAGAAAAAACATGTTTTATGCCTTCTTATTTTCCTGTTAAACCTTTAGCTCAAATCTCAGAGCAGATTTTGTCTTCGAGGCCAACTACATTTAGAGTCTTTTCCTAATGTCATGCCGAATATTGATGTGTTTTTGCAAGAGGGCTTTTCTCAGTATTCTGGGCTTTGAGTTTGATGCTAATAAAAATGACAGAATCCTAAAGGCACAGTCCTAAATAACAGGAAAACGAATACATTTCGCCTGGATGCATGGATGAATATTGCTCTTGAGAAACTTCTTCTGGCCTCGGATGAAGAGCCGTGATGAATCATAGCGGGATGTTGATTACTACAGCAAAAATACTGACCTAGAATCAGAGCGAACCGCGTAAACCCATAAATCGCCTTTTCTCTGAGAATTATTGTGGTTCCTTAGATACAAAAGGGTTTTTACAAACTTTTAAAAATGACATGCTGAATGAGCAATAGGATTTTCAAAGGCATTCGTGAAACTAGAAACCCTGTTGTCTGGGATTGTAAAGTCTGTTCTGATGGACCCAATCACCCCTGCTGAGGTGTGTACCGGGAGAAATGTGAACCAGACCCCTTCTTCAATAGCAGATCTGAAGGATTACTTCATCAGGTGAAATGGAGACACCACAGGTAATCGATCATAAAGCATTTCTTGTTTTTTTCCCCACTGCAGTGAATGGATGGCACAGGCGAAAGCGTGCAGTGAAGTTTATTGGACATGTATATGGTGAACACTGACCCTGCTTTATCACAGGAGCTCGTCTGGAGTCTGTTTCACACCTGAAGACAGCTGGTACATTGACCCTGGGACGGGACGTCAATCCCAGGCCTCTGAATTACATCAACAAAGACCTCGGGGCCCATGAGGGCCATTCTAGCAAATGGGTCCTTTTGTGTTCCTCATTAACATATGAGTAAGTAATGACTTGGAGAATTTTTACTATGGGCTGTTACATGCATTTCCCTAAAAACCCGAAAATCTAGTAACTGTATGTTCATTTATATAATTTATTTGATGCTTTTGTTGGGTTCTCATAATTATGTTTTAACCCTGTTATCATGACTGTTTTGTAAAATCGATCAGTCACTGGATTACTTAAAACAATGCTATATATATATATGTGTGTGTGTGTGTGTGTGTGTGTATATATGTATTATTTTTTGCTGCTGTTGTTATTACAGCTAAATATTATATTTATTATCATTAACTAAAGCCATAACCATAAAATACTTGTTTTTAAAATCAATAATAAAATAAATAACTTCAACTTTAAGTGAAATATGTAAAACAAATAATTGTATTTAATCTAGTTGCCAGTGCAACATTTCTCATTTTCATTTAGTTTAACTTGTACTAAAATAAATAAAACTAAAACTGAAGAAAAATTAAAAACTATATGGACATATTAAAAAAAACTAATTAAAATGACAAAAACACAACAAAATAATAACTATAAAAATGAAAAAAAAAAATGCTAAAACTAAAAATTATTCAAAGTTTTAACAAAAAACTAATATTATTTAAAATTTTCCATATTTTTGATAGAATTAATCATTCATTTAATTTTGGATAATTATTGCAATTTATTAACATTATTGTTACGGGGCTGACGAGACATGAGACGTGCGGATCCATTTGCAGAGCTTTATTGTGGAGAAGACAGAGACGTGGTCATAAAGCAGGCAGGGTCAAACAGAGGCAGACAGGTATATGGCGGGCAAAACACAAGAATAATCCTAGGGCTAGCATGGGTCGATGAACTGCAGACAGAATCACAAGGGGCAAGACCAGGGGAGAAATCCAGGAAACCAGGCGAAGATCAAAAACCGAGAACGCGGCTAAGGCTAAGGCTAAGGCTAAGGCTAAGGCTAAGGCTAAGGCTAAGGCTAAGGCTAAGGCTAAGGCTAAGGCTAAGGCTAAGAGTGCAATGCATGATGGGAAATGTAGTCCGGGGTGATGTGCAACAGTGTGTAGTGCGAGAGTCAATGAAATTGGAAGTTCATGGACCGGATTCGTGACAATTATATTGATAATTATAGCAATTTATTTTGTCTTATAGAATGTATTTTTTTCAACTATGAAGAAATACATTTAAATCCTTATAAATCACCTTTTTGAAATGTGAAATGCTCTTGTTTCAGAGTGACCCATGAACAATTCATAAAAATAATCCTGGTGGACATGAAATACATTAAGTAATATCATTATTATGACTTATTCTTTCACTCTGACACTCATCCATGCACAAATACTTAATTAAATCATTCTTTAAAGCCAATCGCTGTCTAAATGGAGGTTCGATGTTAAAGTCTGTTTCTTTTCTCCAGCTATGGGACAATCTTTGAGACGAGGACGTGTTTCAAATGGATTTCTGCTGTCTCTTGAAGTTGGATCCATTCCTGTCTGCTCTTTTGAAATCGGGGCAATGCAAGAACAGAATGATGAAATCAAAGTATTTTGCTCTTTCAAAATGAGGTTTCACTCATGTGGCTACAAACCGAATGCTGTTGATGTT